TTATGTTTGTATATAGGTTTTACGACAGTTTATTACTTGTGGTATAAACCCTCTGCATGGAGAGCAAGAAGACAGCTCCTGCTCTGATCCTTGCTTCCTGGTTTGCTCTAAGTTTGACCATTTATCATATGAAATCAGTCCTGGAAATACCATGTATTGCCTTCTCCTGCCTTACTGCATTCCAAAAATACCTCTAGGAATCTCTCAAAACCTGAACCTCCTCTTAAGCGTTAACAACACGTTAATACTTTGCCTACTTTGTCTAGACTTGAAATATGTTTAAGCAGGGAAGCCTGAGTGGTGAACACACAGTGTATTTAGCCCATGATAAATTAACAGAGAGAGGACTAATCTTCAAGGCCAATACTTTCTGCTTCTCTTCAACAGCCTGAGGAGAGTAAGGCAGGAACCAAGTTGACCGACACTTTCTGCATAGGAAATGGGATCCCCCAAAAGGTGCTTCTGACCATCGGTGCGCTCAGATATCCCCTTCCAGTGTCTCTGTTCTCAGCCGGTATAAAATAAGCCTAAGCCACTATGCTCTCAACTTCAGATCCCCAAATCAATGCCTATGGAGAGCTGCGCTATACAAATATAAGCCTAATGCAGCCATATAAGCACATACAAAACAGCCATGATCTCTTTCGACTACCTCGAAAAAAAGAAATACATTTTCCTATGCTTTTACTACAAAACCAGGAAACACATGAGAATAAACAAGACTGCAGCCTTTCATTACTATGATGGTATTCTGGGTGCAAGGCTTCCCTCTAGTGGAAAATCCATGAACTGACCATTTGCCATGAACTGCTATTCCAGCCGTAAAAACAAATGCCAAAAGTACATAGGATGCTCTTGAAACAACAAATAGCAAGCGCATTCGCATATGAAAACATGATGATGTTTGAATCTTCTGTCACACTTAAAGCTTAACCTCGTCCTACTTGAGACATTCATTATTTGGGAAGTCTGGAGATGAAGAAATATAAGTAACTGTTAGTTTGGGAGTAAAATTTCATTATCCGTATCAGGTATGGGATTTTCCTTTAGAGCCTGGACTTTTGCAACAGGCTTATTCCCTACGATGAGAAGTTTGTCAGCCTCTGCCTGGCCACCTGTGAGACTGCATACAGGATCAATGAGTTCTCATGACACTGTGTTAACAACATAATTTATTTGGTTTATGTGGGGATGAGCAGTAAGGATTTATGAAAGAAATCCACAATACAACACCTAAACCCAAAATATTTCTGAAGATCCACAAAACAAGACAGGTAAGTAAACCTATTTGCTGTAACTGATAACAATCACAATTAATGCATCCTCAGTTTCGCATCCAGACTATGTAAGGCATTTTGAAGGTTTTTCTAAGATTGGTAATGAGCAAACAAAGCTTAAGTAACCTATATATATATACACACCATAGCAGAATACCTAACATAACCACATAGGTGCTATATGAGTGCACAGCTGCAGAACATCTGTTGTAGATAGCAGCAGACACACCTAACCCAAGTTCAAGTCGGAACTGTGCTCAAGCCTCTCTGTTGAGCACATAGTGAAGTCAGTTATATATTTAAGAATCCCTGCTGCTACTACTGTCTTTCTCAGCTCCTCTTAAAACCGTTTCACAGGTCTTGAGGAAGGGCACAGACCCAGCTGCAGCAGATCTGGACTGAGATGCCCAGCCACATGTCTGGTTGAACATGAGCCAGCAGTGTGCCCAGGTGCCCACAAAGGCCAACAGGATCCTAGCCTGCATCAAGAACAGATGGACTATGGCCAGCAGGAGCAGAGAAGTGATTGTCCCACTGTACTTGGCACTGCTGAGGCTGCACCTCAAATACTGTGTTCAGTTTTGGGCACCACAGTATAAGAAAGGCATTGAAGTGCTGGAGAGGACCTAAAGAAGGGCAACAAAGTTGGTGAGGAGCCTTAAGAATAAGTAGTTTTAGCAAGTCTTCTTAGGTTTGAAGCAGGAAT